GTGGGAAAGTGGGGCAGTTTGAATGGGAGTTTTGAGACGGTCTGAAGGAGCGGTTTCCATCGTTCATTTATAATGTGAAGGCTGTGGATAAGTGCATCTACGGTCTCTGCACTCAATACTCCTCCTGACAGGTTTCATTGAGAATATGACATCGATTTACGGCAAAATAACGAAGTCGATTTTTTTGGCATTTTTCAATTTTTGGAGGAGCTTTTCTCCGGAACCTGAGAAGATGGCAGCGAGGCAATCCACTATTGTAGACTACTCTTTGTGTTCTTCGAGGCTTTCATAGTACACCTTATCAAAGATTAACAGTCCTCTCTTGGTACGGCTATCAACATTTTAGGGTATCTCTTGTAGAGCTCGATGAGCTGAGTTCAATGGTATTTTTTTTCTCCTCGATTAATTAATTTTAAAGCGATTCATAAAGAAAAGACGAAAAACACGCGAAGTCGCGGTATTATTGCAAATTTTTGAGTTCTTACGGCGAGTACTGTATGTATTGGTCAATGATTAAATCCGAGACAAGGATAGCCGAGTGATTGGGAGTCGGCACTCAGAAAGACAACGAATCGACTCCTCAAGGCCTAAACCATGCTTTGCAAAAGCTGCAAGAATGGTGCCGATATCAGGGTCAAGCCCATGTTGACAGGTTGGCCGATGGAGAAATGCTGCCACAACAAATATGCATAAAGCCTCTAAAGGATTCAGGGTAAAACTAGAACGTCACTCGGAAATGGTGCAAGGGACTTCCGCCCAAGTCCTAAAGACAGTTTGCGAGGCTGACCGAGAAGTGAGCGACCACGGTCAAAGAAATTAGTTTGGAGTAGGACTCTGAATGTTGGATCGCTCACTCGAAGGCCTCGAGATATTGTCGATCTTTCGGTGAGCAGGAACAACCATATCCTATGCCTCCAGGGGACAGGCCCAACAGAGCAAAGGCGAGGGAAATATGGCAGAATTTCAAGCTGTACTCTACCGGAAAAGGCACCTAACGAAATTCAGAGATCATAGCAAAGGCAAATTCTCGAAGACTCTGCCTCCGCTGCCAGCAGGATCAGCAATCGGATCACGGCGGTGAAAATAGCTAGAAAGAGGGTACTGAGCAATAATATCCATCTTCGCACCGCAAACAGGTCCCAAGTATAAAAAGGACTTGTTCTTCCTGAGCCTCAACGATGCCATCATAGCAGTTCTGGAAGAGGCTATCTCACCATAGCGAATGATCTGAATGGTCACGTCGGTAATAAACGTCGAGGCCTAGAAAGAGTTCAACGGGGTGAAGGAATGGAAGTCAGGAACGAAGAAGGAGAGAGGTTCGTCGACCTGGCCACAGTCAACGACCTGGCAGTATGTAGTACCTTGTTAGCGATAAGCCTCAGATGTAACCTACAGAGAGTAAAGGACATCAAGGTACTGCCTGTCGAAGAGTAGGCCCAGGCCTCTTGAAGTGCTGAACAGGGGAGCGAGTACGAGAACAGAGCAAGGATCCGATGGTGGAAGGTGCAACAAGCAAAAAATTCGATCTCTAGCGAAGGATTAGGAAGATATTCTTCCGATCCTCAGGGATCGGCCCAGCAAACATGGAACGACGCAGCGAAGTAATGATAATGGTCGGCTTTAATCTGTGCATGTTTTCATCACACCTCCAGACTCTAAAAGTATGGGCGCTTTGTTCCATAATTTCGCCTTACCCATTATATACAGGGTAAGGCAGAATTATTGAAACAAATACTGCTGATGATCTTGATTCGAACTCGAAGCAGAGTGCAATTTGTGTTGTTCAACTTCTCAGAAAAAAAAAGTTGATAAGAGGCCGCACTCTGCTTAGAAACGATCTCTATCGAGGTTGCCGTTGACTCTAGATTCCTCGAGAAATGCGATGACTATGGCGAGGGGTTGCTGGCGTCCAACACGTTCCAAGCTTTTGCATTGCCTCCTTCAAGTGATCGGAATGGAGCGAAGCTTAGCACATACTTTGGACTCAGGGGTGTACTATACAAGGACAAGCTACGTGAGGTCCGTCGAACCTGGAGGCTACTCGAAGGCATCTGGTTTTGGAGTTTCTGCTTACACTGAACCTGGAAAGTTAGACCTCTGGAATCTTTTTCTCACTTGTCCGCCTTCCCTCTGAAGTAGATAAGGAGGTCCTCCCAAAATGAAAAGGGCTGAGCAAGGTCTTCGCTTTTCTCCATATTTCGCATCGTTTGCCTAGCCATGAAAGTAGCATCCGTAGTGGGACGAGTAAGCCAACGTAAGGAGATCAAACAACTTGTCATGACCAGTAGTGACAGTGAAACATAGTTCTGTACAGTTTTGGCTTGATGTGGTCAGTTCTCTGCGCAATTGCAACAACTGAAATATCGATCTTCGTCCAATAATCTCGTCCAACCTTTATTATTCCTACCTTCGAGGAGCCTTTATTTTTCTTGAAAAGGCGAGTTTTCCCGCTTTCTTCATTACCGATGAACTGTTCCCAACCTTTGCTTCTGCTTTTCGAATTGATGGGGTACTTCAAAACTATCGTGAACGTGGAGTGGAGTTGGCATGGGGTTAATATTTAGGTGGAGGTTTACTTATAATTATCACGGAAAGATGTTCGAGAGTAATCTGCTACTGCCGCATTTTAAAATATGGAAATAAATAAAAATAGAAAGTCCTTATAAAAGCCTCAAAATCGATGTCGGTCAACATCACATCACCTAAGCTGAAATCACAACACTCCCGTGGTGCATCGTTAATATGGCGTATCGAAAGGACGTGATGTTCCTTCTTTCACATGTTTTTCGAAATTCGTGTTTTCTATCATGTTTTCTATCACACATTGACTCACAATCTGCTTGGTCGCCCTCACTTAGTTCATTTTTGATAAATTGTGGAGCCTTTTCTTCTTCGAGCTGACGTCCTGTTTTTGCGCACATCCGTTCCCGGACTCGCATCTCTCCACTGACGAGGTTATGGTCAATCATCTGATTACATCATTTTCCACTACTGTAGTGATACTGATAGAAGAGTTGTCTGGTTTCTTGTAGTCAATTCCTCTGTACCGGACGGAAGTTGTTATCTTTAAAACAAGAGTTAAAATCTAACAGGATCCTTGAATTAAATCAGATAGGCCAGATAAGTTATGGACTTCCCAGCGGGGCATAGCAATTGTCTATAATGGACAGAGGAACCAACATTGGTGCCGTTATTGCCAAGATTATCTCTTGCTCCTTCTGATCCGTCTACTCCCACAACTGTAACCCGATGGTCTACTGCGTGTGGTCTGTCCTGGGGAGGGAGATCGGTCTTTGAAGCTCACCACAAGCCTGCCTCGAATATCGAATTTAACAAACAGACAGACAGAGCGCTTTACATATATATTATTCATAACTCTGTTCAAAAACGTTCTAGAACGTGGGAAGAACGTGGTAAGAGGTAATGGACCAAATGTGGTCAGATCCCCAAAGTGGGCGAAGTTGGTACAGGAAAGCGGAGCCAGGACCAAAAACTCATCCTTCGAAAACTTTCTAGAATGCGGAAAAAATGGTTAGGAGCAGTCATAAGAAGGGTGGTTAAGTGTATAGTGCTTAGGGTTTGCACTAAGGTGGATGGGCTATGATCAACCCCTAACCACTCTGCTTAAATATATCGAGCGTGTTGCTGTCAGCTGTTCAGCGATCGAATCTAGAGAGAACTATCGTATTCTGATTATCCGAAATTCCGCTTAATGACTCCGTCGTGGATAAGTGGCCGTCGACATACAAATACTGCACGCGTTAGCGTGCATAGCCAAACTGGTTAAACGATAATTCAAATGATAACTCGTTATGAGTATGTGTATTCGTCACAAGACTCATAATTGTCTGAGTGTGGTGCTAATGCCAAAACTACCACCGCATACAGCGGCGTGATGGAAGCCTTTGTGAAATGAAGACCACCGAAATCAGACTAAAACGATAAATTGTGGTAAGTGTGTGTCCCAGTTTAGAAACTTAGGACTCCTCTCTTGCCATTGAGCATTCGCACAGAGTGCACCGATAATAGTGGTACCAGCTCTGTTATGGTACGGGAACCGCATTCCAAGTCAAAACACTCAGTCAAACACATTATTTTACATGAACCGCTCACTAAGGGTCATGCGGCACAAGGTGCTTTGTGGAGAACCCTACAGCTTTTTCTTACAAATTTCTGGAGGCAGGCCTGTGGTGAGCTTCCAAGGCCGATCTCCCTCCTCAGGACAGACCACACGCAGTAGACCATCGGGTTACAGTTGCGGGAGTAGACGGATCAGAAGGAGCAAGAGATAATCTTGGCAATAACGGCGCCAATGTAGGTTCCTCTGTCCATTATAGACAATCGCTATGCCCCGCTGGGAAGTCCATAACTTATCTGGCCTATCTGATTTTATTCAAGGATCCTGTTAGATTTTAACTCTTGCTTTAAAGAAAACAACTTCCGTCCGGTACAGAGGAATTGACTACAAGAAACCAGGCAACTCTTCTATCAGTATCACTACAGAAGTGGAAAATGATGTAATCAGATGATTGACCATTACCTCGTCAGTGGAGAGATGCGAGTCCGGGAACGGATGTGCGCAAAAACAGGACGTCAGCTCGAAGAAGAAAAGGCTCCACAATTTATCAAAAATGAACTAAGTGAGGGCGACCAAGCAGATTGTGAGTCAATGTGATAGAAAACATGATAGAAAACACGAATTTCGAAAAACATGTGGAAGAAGGAACATCACGTCCTTTCGATACGCCATATTAACGATGCACCATGGGAGTGTTGTGATTTCAGCTTAGGTGATGTGATGTTGACCGACATCGATTTTGAGGCTTTTATAAGGACTTTCTATTTTTATTTATTTCCATATTTTACCATGCGGCAGTAGCAGATTACTCTCGAACATCTGGGCCGTTTTAGTGTATAAAAGGGCCACATACGGCATACGGGGCCCTACAAATTCTAGCGGGATATCTCAAAAGTCACTTTTATCATGAACTGTGCTCTAAGAACCATGCCAACTCCACAAAATTCCTTCCGAGGTCGTCTTCAATGAATCGCGTCGCCGATCTGAAGCAATGACAATCGTTTCCTGTTCAACAAAGTAATTAGAAAGAACACCACTTCAACCAGAACTGTCAAACGCTGGTTCGCCCGCTTCGTAGCAGAGGTGCGCACTTTGATGAAAACTATTGAGTAAGACTTTCTGACAAATTGGCGACTCCGTCATACCCAAAATCGAAAACGTTCGGAGTTCAGAATCAGCAGTTTGTCGTCTGCTGGCCGAATGCATTTACACTCATTCAGCAGTCCTCAGCCTTACCCCGCATGCAGCTCCATAGGAGAGCTTGCTCGACGAATCTTTTGAATCATGCCTAGATCTGATCTTTTGAATCTAGACCAGAGTTTGGCAAGATTTCCTTACTGAAGATGGGAGTCACTACAATTCTGAAACGCTATATGCCGCGTGGCTTTCAAGGATAGAAGACTCAAAGACGCAAGCCAAATCGGATCTCCACCCCCAAGAACCACTGACTCCAAGGATTACCTTCTTTCATGGTTGAAGGAGATTTGAGAGAATTACAAGCGGCTTCGCTCACAAAGAGTGACTTTAGCAATAATACCTTCTTATATAAGCTTCGGAAACTTGCAGATGCCACTCTCAAAAAACTTTCAATACGAACTTCTGCCTACTGACTCCCCGATACGCCAGGCTCATCTAGCTACACAAACCCGGTAAAATTGCGTTGAATATTGAAAATCGGAAAGTTGGGCTGAGATCAGCTCCCTAATCGCCCTACTCTCTTGACACTGTCACCTCGACTGTCGTTAGTTTTGCATTTTGAAAGGCTCAGTCCACAAGAAAACGGTTCATGAGACTTCCTACTGGTACAAATCTGCGGTTCACGATGATGACACATGGGGTAAGGCCGGAAAACCTGTTCATGTACAAATGCACATGTATGTGTAGGTTTCTATGTATGTATATTTGACTTTGTAAATGGATGTATGCGTGCATGTGGAGAAATTTCGAGAATCTGCCTCAATTAGAGAGATAACGACTGGTTTGGGAAGTTAGTCGATAGATGCCGAAAAATAAAAAGCTACCAATGTTTCAGAAGTGATGGGATCTTCGTAGTGCTACCTCCGTTGAGCGTTTCGATTTGAACAAAGTAGAGTACCTCCGTTGAGCGTTTCGATTTGAATAAAGTAGAGTAGACATGATCGTGGTCATCTCTGTTCCTCCAGAGGGTGTCACCGAGAACTGCTCACTCTGTAGGCCGAGCTGATCACGGACATTCGAATGCAGCGACAGACCCCCGCGAAAGGCCGACCCACGAACAAAAATGCTATCACTATATGAATCTCTATGTAATGCCACGGCTCTGCGGGAGCCGACGCGCGCTCGCAAAGTCCGGCGAGGGTGAAAAATATGCGAGGGTTTTCAGTGCAAGAGCGAAATCGGCGGAGGCGGAGGCTTGTCTAAAAGTTACTCAACGTATGGAAGGCCCGCGTTGGCACGTTAACGGGACGCTTTTACGAGTTAGGAGGAGCTCTAGAGCGTCGACGAAGTGATTTCTCTGCCGTGTAGGTAACGATGTGGTCCAGCTGCAAGTCACGCGCGTTGGCCACGGCTTTGGAGCCGTTCTTTGTGGTCGCCCCAAAACCACCAATTGTTTCTGAACGGTTCCGCGATTCGGTAGTAAGCAGGGAACGCTTCGACGGCCGCTAATGAAGATCATTGTAGTCATGAACGCCAAAAATATCATCTCTTCTCAGCGTATGCTCCACGGCCTGGATGGTCCGAGAAAACCAAGGACAAGTTCTGGAAACTGCTCGATGAAAAAACAGCTGAGGTACCGTTACAAGAAGCTACAGTTGTCATGGGTATAGTTCATGTCAGTCGTATGGTCACGTGAGACTGAGTTTTCGAATATGCGTGAATTCGAGAGATGTGCACAATCTCACCATTGTAAACAAGAAATTTTGGAAACGTGACTCCCATCTCAACACATTCTCTAGTGGCGAGAACAGGACACGAATTCATTTTGTCCTTTTCAGGCACCGCGATCAGGGGCTCGTAACAGACGCGGAGACAGTACGAATGAAAGTGTGAAACGGTCGCAACACAACATCGAACACTGACTTGTACGCTAAAGATCGCCCCGCCGAAACCGAAATTAGCTCAAAGGAGTGGACCAGCGGGAGTCAAGTGGTGGCGAAAGAGAAGGAAGCGGTCGTCGTTCCCCGCATTCTATAACCAGCGGTAACGATTGTCGCCGAAACTTGGAACGGAAAAGCGATAACCCAGGTTGCGTGGTCGGAGCTCGGCATGACCAAGCTTGGACGGCGAGAGGATGACAAGCAAACATGATTGTGCACGGGCCAAGTCAGAGGTAAAGTATTATATATGAAAAGAAAAAGCAGTACCACGCATTTTTCCTCGAAAAGACAGTTGATAAGTGGCAGCGCTATGAGATAGCGAATAAAGAGGCGAAAGAGGCCGTTGCTTCTTCGAAGGCAGCTCATTATGTCGATCTTAAAGAGGAGAGTCTCGCGATGGTAAGCTGTACGTTTACCGACTCGCACTATCCCAAACTGAGGATATAGAAAAGTTTTTCAGCATAAATGACGGCGAGAGTACTTCGAAAACATCCAACAGTCAAAAATTTGTCGATCCCACCATCTCTTGCGCAACACCAGTGTTGAGAAGGTAACAGTAAAGGAGACCACTGCGACTATCAAGAGGATGTAATCAGGCAAAACAACTGGTCCTGACGAATCAGCGGCGGACTCGAGGAAATCAAAAGGTTGGAAACCTGCAGAGTGGTTGACGGAGTTCTTCAACTAGTTCGTCGCAGAAGAGGAGGTGCCTGAGAGCAGGCAACAGAGCACGACGATTTCGATCTGGAAGAAGAGGGGCAGTCCTGGGGATTGCACTTGCTACTGTCTAATGCGATTGATCTCGCACAGCATGAAAATCTTTCAGCGAATTATAGACAGCCGTATCCGTGATATCGTCGAGCTGACCACTAATCAGTGTGGTTTCGTAGCTGGTTGCAGCACCATCGATGCCCTACACGCCACTCGCCTTCCACTATAAAAGAATTGCGAGAAACAATTACGGGTAATCTTGTCTTTCTAGACTCGAGCAACAGATGCAAATCTGATCCGTCCGTCCGGCTGTGTTCGGGATTAGCGTAATAGTAATAGTAAAATAAATAATAGTAATCATATAGTAATAATGATAGCAATTTTCAATAATAATAATCAATAGTAATAATAATTGATAATAAATGATAACAATGATAATAATAATGACATAGCCCGGCTTTCCACCCCAAAATTATCGCAAAAAGGGGAACAACACGTCGTACTGGGCAATCTTTTTGATAAACAAGTAAGGAGTAGCATAAGATACCTGTGGCATTTGGTGAACTGGCTCCACACATATTCGACTAGAACATCATACAGATTTAACATCATCCGTGCAAACAAGAGGTTGGCGCAGCCCTTTGCAGTGGTAGGATTCCATTCCGAGAGCTTGTCAATACCTTGAAACAAAGAGCGGAAAACATGAATAGATAATAAAGCGTCAATGCAGTACTGTAAGATATAATAGAATGAGAGACGAGGAAGTAATCCCGCGACTTTTTTTAGTTGATCTATTTGAAAGTGAATCAATTGAAGGGAAAGTGCAAAGCCGAAAGTTACTTATCAGAGGGTAAATTTCCCAACGGATTTGGTGGTTCTTTAAAGGCACAGTTCGCTGTAGGGTCCTGTGATTTTTCCACAGTACGGATTCGAGGCCTCGCCTCATATCATACTTGTCGTTATAAGGTCGAAAAACGTCCTATATAGGCCACATAAGGGACCAGAGATTGTATCGTGTGAATGCCACACCCATAACGGACGATATTCAATGGTGCTGTAGAGGTTGCATTAAAAAGCTTTTCAAGAACTATGCATTTGTAAGGGTATTTGGGCGAGATTTCACTTGCTCCAACTGCGAAAAGGCCCACAGCGACGATGACAGGCATTCTGGATAATTTCGTTTTGATGTAGTGCGCAGTTGGAAGTGAAATTTCGTCAAAATACCCTTACATGCCGTTTCGGCCATGGTGATTTCGTAAAACCTCTACTTTCACCACATTTAGGTAGCCATACAATTCGCTGAGTGAGCGGATTCTCTCGCTTTTTCGCCATCAGTGTAGTGCTCTACGTCACACCTTCACTTTTTACGTTAAAACGGATACCACGAAATTATCGTAAATTGTGCTTGCAACGACCTATGGAACTTCCTAAATATAAAACTTTGTTGAGTATTTTCGTGCCCATTTCCATATTAGGTACTCCCGGAAGAAATACCTGGAGAGGCAAGATCAAGTGTCGGGTGTCTGGAACATAGCTCAAGAAGAATGAAGCACAACGGGTAGTAGAGAAAATTCGCTCAAAAGACATTGGGAGGGACATTCAATAAAATGGGGGATAATGAACGCAACAGTAAAAAAGAGCATTGGGTTGTGGTAGCAGTACAGAAGACTCATCTGAAACGTCAAGTTCTCTCCAGATGGTGTGAGTCTACGTACAATTATCTTTTAACGTGGTTTCTAAACAGACATACCATCCGAAATGTCTGTTTAGAAACCACGGTCTTCAATTGAGTGATGTTTCTTCTCTCTTGCGTTAATTACGCTCATCTCGTCACTCGTCACCACGTTCTTCGACCCTGAACTTCTGCCGACGCCGTTAATTCGGTTAGTTAGTGTGTAGTTCGGCCAGTTTCTACTTAATCCCGTGCTTTCACTTCTTGTTTAGGGCTTCTCGTTCGAACCTCATCGCTTTTCAGCCCAATTTTTGACAGACGACCTTTGGGCCAGCACTTGCTGGCGTAGAGCAATACTGCTCTACGACAGCAACGTACGTTCGCTTGAAGCTTTTTAGAGCACCGCTAACCGCAGGGTATACACTGGCCTCTCCAATTCATCCGTGTCGCTTTATTCGCGCCTTCACCGCTTAGTCCATGCTGCCTCCCAAGTTTTGCAGTTCTGGGACTCTTCAGTGCATTCCCGTGGCAGCACACATTTAGCCCCACGCACTCCTCGGAACTTAAGTCTTGGTCTCCTTCATGTTCACCGAGCGCCCACTCTGCGCATACTTGTTTTGCCACCTATGCCATCCTGGTGTTCTTTCCGACTTTTTGCTACCAGTACCACGCCACGCCGTCGAAGCGGAGGGTGCTGATGTTGGTGGCCCATCCACCAGTCCTTTTGTGATGACCTGCACTGTTATTATGAAGACAAACGGGTTCATCGCTGATTCTTTGTGAACTGTGACATCTACTGCTTCCGTAAAGTCCAGAGAAGTGATCAGAGAGATTAGGTTATCTGGAACGGTTGGTTTTTAGAAAGTTTTTAGTATACCGGGGCGATAAAGGGATAGTCGACATTTCAGAATTGAGGGAAATCAGGTGTCAGGTACGTTCTTCCTCTTCCCCACCTGATGTTTACCTATGAATATGGCATTGCAAATGTTTGGGCAAGAAACCAACTTGTTGGTCCCCTCCTACTTCTTCTTGAAGACCGGATCTATAGGTCCTCAGGAATCGGGTAGCAAATCTAATCCCGTGCTCACTAAGCGCCTTCAATAGGCTCAATGGGTACTCCTCCACATTAGTCGCTGTCCCTAAACCTATAACTCCTATTACTCGTAAGAACTCGTCCATTGACCCTAGTGCGATGAACCTTCGCCTAGCCACGCCATGTTTCCCAAGTCTTTCTCAGGTTTGCAGCGCCGCTGCCCTTCATTGCTCACCACTCCGATGCCTTGAGTAGACCGATGCCGGGCTCCGACCAGCCGACAGATAGCTCGTCTCCTTCTACAACGCTGAGCTTTTCGTAAAAGTCGTTTTCTCGTCCATTACTTTTGCTATTTCAGTCTCGGTCCTCTTCATGCAACTTCTGTAGGAAGCCAGGCCTTTGCAGTTCGCGTTTTAGTGTTATACGGCTTCCTCCTGCTTCACCATTCGCTCGACTTCCATCGTTCCAAAAGCATGCTGCCTTGTCTTCTCTGAATTCACCTTTGTTTCTCCCAGCATTTATCCATCACGCCGAATGATGGCCTCGACAGCGTTGCTCCAAGTTTGCTGGATTAGTTTTCCAAGATTAGGAGACAAGCTCACAGTATCCTCCGTTTGTAACTTCCTTTTCGACTCACTAATAAGGAAAAAGAATTACGGTCTCAAATAAGTCTTTAGGATGGGAAAGAATCAGACTACACTATTACTCTATTATTAGGTGAGACGCGTAACCAGCTGACCAGGCAATTCCACTATGCGTTGTTGAACAATTCTGGGGTGGGAAAAAGGGCGTAGAGCAGATGAGAAAGCATAAGACTTTAGGCCAGAGGCACGAAATGGGCACACCAAAATCCAAAATTCTTCCATAAGCTAGAAAGATTGGATAAGGGAAAATACTGACGGTCTGACGGTGGTATGGTCTGACGAATAGGTAAGAGGAGCAGTATTAACAGTAGGCGAAGTGTAAAGCGGAGTAAGGCCAAATAAAGGCAATCCAAAAGATAGTCTTCAGTTAGCCAATCCCGTCATTCGACTTCAGAATCGTAGTTGCGTATTGAATGTGTATGTGACCTATATAGTGAATCGCTTTGGCTAGCCGATGTTCAAGTCAATTCTTTTATCCTCCTAGACGAGTCTTTTACCGATACCGGAGGGATGGAAGGTTCGGTTGGCCTAGAAGGATCTCGATCCGGGATTTGAACATGAGACCATGCGTGTGATAGTGTGTCACATGCCAGTGCACCACCTCCGTCCTCAGCGGGTCACAGGTTCAGAAAATAAAGGAATTTCAGAAGGCCATTTTCAACGTGAGTGTGCCTTTAACAGTATGATGGTGAAAGCAGTAAGCACACACAATCCCAAAAATTGAACCCTTGTTTTTATGTGGAGAATAATCAAAAAAGCGCCATATAATATTTTCCTAAAAAATGAAGTTGTTCCGAAAGTTTCGTAAAATAAAAATAAAAAACGTAAAAATTGTTTCGAAAGTTTTTTTGTAAAATAAAAAACGAAAATTCCCGTGATCGTCCTGTAGAACATGGGAAAAAGGAAAAAATTGAAAAGGGTTGCTGAACTAGCATGAGGGATATTTCGTGGGCGAGATGAGCACCAGTGCCTAAAAATTCCAAATTCAGAAGAAAATAATAAACTTGTGAAACTCCGAGATTACATACGGCAAGAAAGGAGCAGCGTCATGAACCAGCAGAAATGCTAGGCTTCAGCAGAGGCTCAGATGAAAAAGATTTTAAAGGTAAGCTGGTCCACGATTTAGATGGAAAGCATTCGCAAAATAGATGAGCCAGTCAACGACCATTCTAAAATTCAAGAAAAATATTTGTCTCCGTATTTTTTTAATTAATGTGTTATAACATCAAGTTAAGTGACAGGCCAAAAAGTTGTACTATGAACTGAAATGAAAGAAGCAAAGAGTTCATGAAAGACCCCGTGATACATTGCGTCATTGAGAAGTATTTCAAGAGGTTCGCCTAATCTGCACTCTTCCTAGAATCTCACTAAGGCAAATGAAGGTAACATTTTGCTTCAAATTCACTTTCTTGAGAGGAGACTCACTCACTCATCTATCTATTGGAAGTCATTCGCACGTAACATTCAGCCAGGTTACGTAAATAGGGGTCTTATGATGGCCATGGGAATTGGGAAAATGAAACAGACTCTCATGTAGATAAATTGACACCATTAGTCTGATTGGGTGATCACCACTTTCCAAACAACATCATATTAATTTCACCTACATGCAGCGGTGTGCTTTCGAAAAAATAGGAATAAACGGGATAGGCGATAAATTTCAATCAAAAATTGAATATTCAGGTACCTAGATCATGAACGTCTTCACTGCATGCCTTGCGTACCCACGAATTGATGAGGTCGTGGGTATCCTTCTGCACGTTTGCTCCAATTTGGGTTTGAGTGCGCTCAGCGTCGCCAACTACTTCCTCGCTTAGTAGACACTGCATTGCCTTCAAATCGCCCATCATCACATCGAAATAGGAATTTAAATGTAATCAAAAAAATATCAAATATTATCATTATACAGGGGGCCAAAACTATGATTACAACGCGCGCTGACGCTCATAACAATTTTTCTCTGTGTTTATAAGAATTCGTTCGCTTTCTTCCATTTCGCAACGTAGATTACATTATTATCTTCCCGATGATAGTGAACCTTTGTTAGACTTGAAAATAATGTAAGCGTCACTACCCCGTGAATCAATCGTCGCTTTGCATTTACAAGCACTTTTGGCACGGCGCATCTTCAGAAGAATCAGCGTAACAAGGCAGGTGGTACATTCAACCATAAAACGCTTTCGAGGCTTGGGAACAATTGTAGATAGGAGTGGTAAACCTAGGAGGCCTGCGGTTATGTTTAGGAGGAGTGTTAAGAAGCAGGGCGAAAGTCTACGTAGCAGCGAATCTCATTCTGAGCCTAAAATGACTAATTGAATGGATATCTGATGAAGCTTTCTGCGCGAAATCGTGAAACATCATCTGCACATCAAGGCCCCTCTACGATTACCAAGTGGTTTCCCCAGTGTGCAGACTAAAGGAAAGAGGAGGGTTGGCGAAAGCTGCCCCGCCGCATCCGAACAATTTGTCGTACGGAATTGTTCACCGACGAAAAGATATTCACGGTGAAAAAGGTGCTCAATAACCAGGACAACAAGATTTGTAGGAAGTTTAAGGAAATGGAAGTGATGCAGCGCTAGGCTCGCTGATTTTCTGCGGAGGCCTTTCGAGCGTCGCCACCGAGGTAAAAACAGCGATTGTTTTTGTAAATTAAGCAGTGAAAGTTGATTCGGAGACCTCATCGATCTCGTCGTGCGCAGTGGGACACTTTCACGATTAAACTAAACCGGACATATTGCCAAGATGAAGCTCCTGAGCGCAGATCAGAAATTGTCTAGAAATTCCGCAAAAGGGATTTTCTGACTTCCTAACCTTTGATCGGTGACCACTCTGAAGCCCTGGCCTAATCCCATGGATAACCCACTGTGGTCAGCCTTCGAGTTAAAAGCATCCGATAGCTCAAACAAGAAGTGAAATAATCTCGAAAATACCTTGCAAAAATCTGGGATCAATTCGGTGACCTCAGCTGCGTGACACCGTACAGGGTTGGCCATAAATATAGCGACAAGGTTCTAACCTTATATCTCAGGAAGCAAAAGTGCAAACGAGTCAACAAGTGAACATAACATTTATTAAGTATTAAGTGGTACATTAACAATCATAAGTTACTTCTCGATTCGGCCACCTTTAGCACGGACGACAGCGCGGAGTCGCTTGCGAAAGGCGTCGATGACCGGACGCAGGAGTGCGTCGTCGATTTCGTCCCATTCTCGGACGAGCGCTGCCTTCAGAGAATCCAAATTGGGGTGGGGAGTGGCGCAGGCGTTGCTCTCAAGGTAGGACCACAAGTTATAGTCCAGTGGGATCAAATCCGGTGACGATGCCGGCCATTCTTCAGCCGAGATGAAGTCGGGGAGTTCACTCTTGCACCACGCTTGGACGACCTGGCCTTGTGTGCGGGCGCCGAATCTTGCTGGAATGTCCACGAGCGGTCGTTGAAGTGTGAATTCGTCCACGGGAGTAGAGCATCCTCCAGAATCGTCTTCAGGTAGTAATCTTTGTCGATTTTGACGCCGGTGTCGACGAACATCAACGGCGTTTTTCCCGAGACACACACCCCTGCCCAAACCATGACTTGGGCAGAATGTGCGGCCCGGTGAACGATTCTTCCCTTCTTGTCGGTTTCCTCGGCATTCCTTGCGGTCACTCTGTCGTTCTGAGCGTTGAACTGCTGCTCGGCGGTGAAGAGCTCCTCATCCGAAAAGACGATCGAATGGTGGTCCTTGTTGCGCGTGTGAAGCTAAAGCTGTCGGCACTTCTTGACTCGCGCCTGCCGATTCGAGGCGCTGAGGATAGCAGCCTTCCGAGTGCGGTAGGGGTACATCATAAGGTCTTCGTGAACGGCCCTTTCCATTAACTTTCCCGAGGTTCCCATGTCGCGAGCCATCGTCGAAATGCTCCCAGTCGCGTTTCTTGCTATCCGCTTTCTCGTCTTTCCTCGACGACCTTCGGCGTGCGAGCAATACGAGGCCTTCCACTTCTTCGGCAGTCTTGGAGTTCACCAAGGTCTCGACAACGTTGGAGTGTGCGATACACGTCGCTGCGATGGATGCCGAGGTGCTTAGCGATCGTGGCGGGTGGGCGGCCGGCTTTGTGCAGACGAACGATAGCGGAACGATCAGAAGAAGGCTTCACCATTTCGCTATGAATGGCCCAAATTTAGCCAAATTTTAACAGGAGTTAGAAAAAATGATGAGACTGAAAAGTCCATAAGACTGGTGCGCTACGTGCGCTATAGAATGTACGCTAACTGCAGCAAGTCTTGTCGCTATAATTATGGCCAACCCTGTAAGTGCCGTCCATCGTCGTCTCTTGGGTTGGGTTAAAGCAGAAAGTAAGTGATCCCAGTGTCAATATCATATTTTGATAAGATATTTGTGATAAACACTTTTCTGAAATTGGTTTGCTTTGTTAGCTTTCTATTCGATTTGTGATGTCTGTGCAATCATAATTTTGGCCCATCCTGTATATTATTTAAAAATATAGTTTGATGTAAACAAAATTTGAATGGAAAAAACAAACTAGGCCATAAAAAGAAATAGTCAAAGAACGTGAAAAAGACCTGGACCAGTTGCGGCATCGGCTCTACCAGTGTCACTGCACCGCTGATCGTCATAACCATTGTCTCGGATTTCCAGTCCGGAGCTGAAACTTTGCGTGAACGGGAATAGGTGCTGGAACTAGTTGAGGGTATTTATTTACAGCCCAGTTGCGATCTATTATGAAATAATAATAGTAATAATATCAACGTTTTTTTGCGGATAAGGTGCAGTTTAATCGGCTCGGTTGCTGTGGAGCAAGACAAGATGTGTGTACGTGTGTGCATACGTGTGTGTGTCGTGCGTGTGTGTTGTGTATGTGCATGTGTGTCCGATCGGAAATATTAGGTCGGCAAATAAGTCCTGCGACAAAAAATTTGAAGCGTTGAA